AAGAAAAAAAATTACCTCTTAAAAAAACGGTCGACTTACCGGAACCTACCTGGCGTGCAAGATCCGCTTCAGAATCCAGAAGCTTCTTCTTCTTCTTCTTCCCCGACTTGTTCAAACAGGCAACCTCTTTCGGACTCCTCACAGACAGAACCTCTTCCAGTATCCTCTTCTTCTTCTTCTTCTCTAACCTGTCCCGACATCGTAGAGGTAGAATGTCAGACGGGTCCACAAGCTTCAAAAAGTCCCGACATCGTAGAGGTAGAATGTCAGCCGGGTCCACAAGTTCCAACGGGTCCAGAAATCATGGAGGCAGAATCACAGCCGGGTTCACAAGTTCCAACGGGTCCAGAAATCATGGAGGTAGAATTTCAGCCGGGTAAACAAGTTCCAACGGGTCCAGAAATCATGGAGGTAGAATCGCAGCCGGGTCCAGACATCCTAGATCCCTCCACTCATCCCAAAGAGACTCCAAGTGTTTCAAGACAGCCTTGTGAGGATCCAGCCCTTCCCGTATGGAATGATTATATGGACTTACAAAATTTGGTGCAACAGGAAGGAGAAGAAAATAATCATACGGATGGGTGGGTCAAAGACTGTTTAGATCATTTAACCTCGAATGAAATTGAACTGTTATGGAATTGCATTTCTGAAATCACATCGGAAATGGGATAAAAACCAAAACAAAAAAAAAACTTTTTTTAATAACAAATTGGAGGAGGGTCATGATGTCAATTAAAAAAAATATTATATAGAGTCCAATCTTGGTGGTTCACTTCAGTTTTCCAGCATGAGGTGATCCACGTTTCCCGAAATATGGATCCCATTCCAAGAGAGATTGTGTAGAGCCTTCACTTCAGTTCTTTTTTTTTCCTACCAAGAGGAGAGGGTCCCCAAAGGGCTACCCATGTCCAAAGAGAGAAAGTGTAGAGCGTTCATTTCAGTTTTTTTTCCAAGTTTAGGGGAGGGAGGTCTCAAAATGACACCCCCCCATTTTCAAAGAGAGATGGTGTAGAGCGTTCATTTCTGTTTTTTTCCAAAGTTAGGGAGTTTTCAAATGGACTACCCATTTCAGAGAAGAGAGAGAGAGAGAGAGAAGGTGTAGAGCGTTCATTTCAGTTTTCCAAGGTTAGGATGGTGGTGGAGAATCCTCCAAAATGGCTACTCATCTCAAAGAGAGAGAGAGAGAGAGAGAATGCGTAGTAGAGCGTTCATTTCAGTTTTCCAACATTAGAAGGTCCCAAAATACCTTCTGAATTCAAAGAGAGATCGTGTAGAGCGTTCATTTCCAGTTCTCCAAGATCAGAAGAAGAGGGTCCGCTTTTCCATTCAGAGACAGCGAAGTGCAGACTTCAGTTTTCTCCCTCCCCAAGAATAGAGGGTCCCAAAATGGCTTCCCATTTCAAAGAGAGAGAGGGAGAGGCGTTCATTTCCATTCTCCAAGATAGGGTCGTCTGCTTTTTCCCAAAATGGCTTCCCAATTCAAAGAGAGAGAGAGAGAGAGAGAAAGGGTGTGTAGAGCGGTCATGTTCATTCTCCAAGATAGGGTCGTCAGCTTTTTCTCAAAATGGCATCTCCCCATTCAAAAAGAGATCGTAACCAATTTTTTTCCAGTTTTTTCCAAGATGGGGGGGAGAAGAAAACCTAGGATGGAATAACACGACACACAGAGAGAAAGAGGGAAAAAAAACGCCATCTTGTCATTTTCTGATAGGGTACCGGTGTTCGAATACTTTTGTGACCGACTGTACGGCCTTTTTAGAGTGTTTAACATTCACAATTTTCCACCACTTTAAAATTATATCAATAAAATGTTTAGTTCCTAAGACATCTTTTCCATACCCAGTTCTATTATTCTGTGAATCAATTTGCAGAGCAGCTAAAGTCTTTTCATCAAAAAGTTTAATAGCAGTACTTACATTCTGCTTCTCTATAGAAGACGGAAATAAAACTTTTCTTGATAAAGTTGGAGCCATTTTAATATTATCATTTTTTTTCTATTTCATACAATTTTTTTTAAATGTAGAACACTGGAATTGTAAACAATATTTGAGTTTTCAAATGACGGTATAAAAAATGTTTGGTTTGAATCTTTCTGATTGAACCAGTTGTTTCGTATAGATTTCAAATGAACTGTATCAAATAATATAAATATAGAAAGATTATGCATGGTAGGGTTTATAAATGAGGATTTTAATGCACCACCACAAAGCATTTCGAACATATTTCTGTTAATTCTATTATTGTCTGATATTAGAGTTATAATTCGATAGCCACAAGACTGTACATGGTCAATTACTTGTTTTGTAAATATTAATAATTGATGTGATGATAAGTTTTTTACAGGAAACATTGCTACAATATCTCTGTTTTTTGATAATATAGAGCTTATCATAAATGTTTGCAGAGTTGTGGCCTCCATCTGTGAATTATCCGAAAAACCTAAAACATGACCACTTTTATACGGAAACTTGTGGTTTTATATATATCCTCATCTAATAATAAATTGACAATTTTTTCAGAATCATTTAAAATTTCACATTTTTTTTTTTTTTCAAATACATCCAGTGACTTGTTTGCAATCCAGAATCTGCTCGGCCAATTTTTCAGAGATAACTTCCTTAAGTATGACGGGATGAGGCAATATAAAATACTTACTGTTACGTATAATATTGTAGCTGTTTGGATTACAATAAAATATATAACAAGACCAGGCAAGGAATTCTGCACTATACGAAGGCTGTTTCATTTGCATTAATTGAATCTGTTCATACAAAAACTTAAATTTCTCAGAATGTGGATTATTTTCTTGTTTCTGCACATTTCAACAGTAAGTTTTGATATTTTATCTAAATTTAAATTGCAGTCATCATGAATATCAGAAGCAGAAAAACCATCCTAAATGGCTAATCATTGTCTCAAGTTTAGACCATTTATCGCATAGCTTTTCCTTCTCCAAATATCCCCCCGGGGGTCGACATAGAGAACTCTGCGAAGCTACTGGCTAGGATCTGTACCTAGGCAGTCTCGGCCACGGGGGTAAATTATGAACTTGGCGGTTCCCGATGGTCCATGGGGTAGGTTTATACTTGCTCTTCATGGGCGGGAGGTGTAGTCCCTTCCACCAGGTATTGGTAGCCAAATAGCAAACTGGACCATTGAGCGTCTGGTCTCTGCTGTCCTTGGTATCCATGTAAAAGCCTAAGGAGAGGGGCATCCGTGTAGGACTGGCAGGTAGCCCAATTTAACGGCCGGTCATCGACCCTAAGTTGTCATCGCCCACCCCACGTGGTCTCGGCCCGGCCGAGACGGTGGTCTTGACTTGGTCGTGTTTAGCGGTGGGCTCGATGTTCGTTGAGCATTCATCAGAGGGTCTTTCAAATGTGTTGGTGTCTCGGGGATGTGGGACCCTGGGCCCAGCAAGCGAGTTCTAACCACCCTTAAGGTGGCTTCTGACTGATTTTCAGTCCCTGTAGTGCCGTTAAGTTGGCAAAGCAGGTATAAATCTAGTTAGTTAGTTCTCCAAATATCCATTTGAACTTTTCAATGGGAATTTCATTTTCATTGAAAAAAACTCTTACATTTAAATCTTCCAATATTTTTAAAGATACAAGCACTTTTGGACAGTTTAAAAATTCTAATTTCGAAAGCCAAAAGATCTTACCTTTGGTAATGAATATCCATGAAGAAGGAAGATCTATTTTTTTTGCAAAACCATTTATTAGGTTTTCAAAATCGCTAATAATATCATTCTTTTTCCACTGTTCAAATTGTTTATCACAACGAATATCAATTTCTGCTTCTCTTTCTTCCGGTGTTTTTTTTTTTTTTTTTTTTTTTTTTTGTGGGAAGTTTCTTTGATAAATAAGATGGCTGGTTTTGAAAAATCGTTGGATAAGCATCTTTTCTTAAAGCTGGAATAGTTCTAGGAACTACTAATACCTTTCCATCATCACGAACAGCTTTATCTTCTCGAACGATAAATTCTTCTTCGAAATGCTTAATGCATACACTACTGTGTTTGCCAGCTACAAAATCTTTGCGATTATATATTTTTATCCATTTCTGAGAGAGTACAGGATCCGAAGTAAATTTGAAAGTGGACACATGTTCAGTAGTGCCTATCGTAATTTGATCGGCATTTAGGTACACTACACTTTTCTTGGCATTCTAAAACACACTTCGCTTTCTAGAATAAATAAATCGAATTCACAATATAATATTTTACTTTCCGGTAAAATACAAAATTTTTCAGAAGAAAAAACACATGTAAACAATTATCTCACTAGCACTAGTCATACGGCGAAGCAAGCTCAACTTACAAAATTGAAAGCCTAAGATTATGACGTCAGATCATGTGATCATCAGTTTGGAGCAGGCCTGTAGATATCAACGACTTCTTATAACAGTATATTATCTCGTTGGTAGATATCTAGTTGGCCTTGATTCAACACCGCTGGTGCGAATAGCATCGGCTGTTATGTTCCCGACAATTGGAACTGCTCTTGGATTAAGAAACTGCTCATGATAAAGCTAACGCAGCAGAATAACTGTTATCACTGAACCAGTGTTATTTCCGTATGGCGGAAAGATCCAGAAGTCTTGTTTTTCAGTTTTCAGGTCCTTCTGCTCTCAGTGATCAAGTCGATGAAAACTCAGGAAAGATCAACAGACAGGTGTGGAGTCAAGATCAGTGAAATTCTTCTTATTACTTAATAACTCGTATTACTTTCTTCTACAAGTACTTCTTATTACTTATTAGTAATCAACAATTTGGATATTTTAGAAACTTTGGAAAGGAGTAAGTAGAAATTGGAAAAATTTTACAAGCATATAAAATTTTCGTAGTATTTCTTACGAAATCTACAGATCTGATAAAAGAAACGAACCAAAAATTAAACTTAAATTATTAGTATCTTTTTAAATGTGTGGAAAATCTATTTCAGATTCATAAAAAAAAAAAAAAAAAAAAAAAAAAAAAAAAAAAAAAAAAAAAAAAATCTGCCTTTTTAGACCGTACCCGCTACTAAAGTCTGTTTTCGAAAAATGAGTTTCGTTTAGTGGTACAGTAAGAAATATCAGTTTGTTATTTATTTTTAGTGTTCTAATGTATAATATATTAATTGGAAATGTTTGACTTTCCTGTATGTTACAGATTTCCTTACATTTTGCCTGTCTGCAGAAGGAGAATTTAGTGACTTGTTGGTAAACACGGCGACGGGCATATTTATATTAGTACACGGTATGACTGGATGTTTATGTATATTTATATAAGTATGAGTTGGGGAGGAAAAAAATATATTACTCACGGAATAACCGATTCATATTTATTTTATCATCGCTTGTTTGTCACTGCTCTCCGTAGTTTATTCGTGGCTAATTGTATAATTCCGATGTGAAGAAGCAGAAACTTTTTAATTCGTTATTTTTATATTTATAACCTCTCTGTTTTCATACTGTGCAAGGCAAAGTGAAACACAGTCCAGACGTACTGCTTTTATTCATTTGTGGGGTGAATTTAAAGATTTCTTAAAATATTATGTTAAGATACTTTTATGTCAAAGAACAGAGGCGTTTAAAATATTTTATTTCATATAGGAAACTAGCCTTCTTTCTGTATACTTGATCAAAATTGGAGACATAATGAGAGTAGTTTCAAAGGATCTTTCATGTTTACTTGATCAAAATTGGAGTAGAGCATTCACATACGTGAATAGTTGCAAATGTTCTCTGTAGTATAAGTTGCTACTAAATTATGTGTAAATTTTTCTGAAGACATAAATGTGTATTAAATTAATTGGAGATATGTCTAAACATTATCAGAGAATGTAAAGTAATGCAGTTACCTAACGAAAATTAAATGTTTTCTGAGATTGATATTATATCCAAGAAGTGAAAAGTTGAGCTTAATTTTTTTTACATATATAGGATATTTGTGATAGAAAGAATGATTGCATAAAAGCATTTTAATCGGATTTAATGTTGATCCCGAAAAAAAAAAAAGAAAAAGCATGGATAACTGGCAGTGGCAGTTTGCAAAACTTTCCAAAAAGGACTTGTCTGGTTTATTTCTTTGGGAGAGGGGGTTAATTGTAAAAAAGGAAATGTATTTTCATTTTTAATTTTGTAAAAGTTTTTCCGAACTATTTATCATTCTCTTTTATTTCTAGCATTTTTCAAAGTTATTTATAAAGTTTTAAATTTTATGTATTGAATTCAAATAATTGAAATCATTTCTTAGTGCATGTATAGAGTTTGAATTGTTTACATTCTGCATTTACATACTAATATAAAATCTTGATTACATTTGTTATGTTTGTTATATTTTTTTAATGTTTATTTATTTTTCAGAATTTCTTCTGCTTTCTGCAGACATAATTTGAATTAAAATTATGGATAACAGTCTTATAGTTGATGGTCTGAATATTGCTGAACTGACTGACGATGAACTTTCTGAAAGGTTGCAAAATCTGGGTTTTATACCAGGTCCTATTTTAGGTAAGACAAATACAAATAAAAACTATTCAGTATTCATGGTCTAAAAAAGAAACTTATAAGAAGTAAGAGACTAGCCTGAATATTGAAATGGGAAAGTACATATTTTGCCCCCTCTTTTTTTTATACAATTCATCTTTTAACCATTTGCACGTGTAAGAAAATCTTTGTTTAGTCTTTGGATTATGGTAACACGACGATTTTTTGGCAAAAATTTGGCGACCAACCCTGCTACAGCAACCTGCTAGTTTTTGTTTGGACGTCATTTTATTTCACGAAATAAGTGGTTTTTTTTTTACTCAACATTTTTTCCCAACAATCTGCTAGCCGAATTACGCTTATGCTAGAACTTTTATGGAACAAAAGTGCTTAATCATGACGAAAATTAGGTGCGAAATTGGGAGAAAGTGCAGAATCGCAAACTGCTTGCTGCGTTTTTAAGAATTGCATATTCACTGTATGCATGTACGCGTCGACCTATTTTTACTTAAAAAACCATCCCAGAATTGCACAAAAATGGCATTGCACACACTCTTGACTTTATCCATGTACACTGCTAAAGTCCTAGCTAGTAACCTTTATCGCCTTACCAAAATGTCACCAAACTACCTGTTACCATATTCCAAAGATTAGCCAAATCTTTATATCGAATGTATTGACTTCTCTATGCTACCATTCTTTTCATCATTTATTTAAAAACTAGAATTATAATAATTTTTACAGTTTCCATATACATCTCTGTAGCCACAATTTTGCTTGGCATACATCTCAAATCAAAACCTACTGCATCACAACATTATTGATTTTAAACTAACTAAATAATTAATATCTTAGACACAAACTTGGTGAATCATTATTTCTTATTTTTTTTGCTTTCATCAATCCCTGACTATCAGCACACTGGAGCTTGAGAAATGATTCCACTTAGTCCAAACAATTTTTTTTAAAAAAAATATTAGTAAATTAATATCAAGGAGCATGGAAACCTTTAATGTTGAGTTTATGCCTTGCAGATGATTACACACTTCAGCTAACTGCAGGTGTAGAGTTGAGAATTTTGACAAATAGAAATTTCTTTCTAGGTGAAGTACATTTAGTGCTGTTTGATCTGAGAATAACTGATTTGTTATTCTCAGATCAAAGAGCATTAAATGTAATTTCTCAGATCAATCGTAACTGATTTGTTATTCATGTAAGCACAGGATTGGTATGGCTGCATCGGGGGGGGGGACTTAAGAATTTAGGGAAGGTAAAATTTTTGTACTTTAGAGAAGTTTTTAAAGAGGAAAGAGCAAAATTAAGATGAATTTAGAGAAACAGAATTAATTTAGATATTTAAAGAAAATTAGTATACAGAAGACAAATTAAAAGATGACAAAATTCTTAAAGCTTGAGGAAAGTGGCACTGGTGCACAAAATGTAAAGTTAAAATATTTGTTAAAGTTTAGGGAGGTGCTTGACGGCAGATTTTAGGACCCACAGAGACTGCAGAGGGCTGCAAAATGTCTGCTACCGTCCGTGGATATGCCTTAAGTATATGTGGGAATTTATTTATATAAGACTCAGATAAGCCTTAAGCATGTGCATGAAATAGGCTTAAGTATAATAAATAATTAAACTAATATAATTCAGGTTTAACTTTATCAGCATGCGATAGAAGCAAAACAAAGTTCCATTTAACATAATGTTATTAGTTACCAATCTCAGGATTGTGTACAGATTGTGCCAGTAGTGTACAGAGGATGCTAGCTAAGTCTTATGATGAAAGCTGCAAATCCAAAAGCTTTCAGATATCACAAACAAAAAGCGAAATTTTCCAGTTAATGTAATTTGTGGAGAAATACTAATTAGTGAAGATGGTATAACAGAAGATTTTCATTGCAAACGAAATACCCCAATCATCAATCAAGTAATGGATGGCAAAATGTGTAGTTCTTAATCCTGAAAATATTGCTATTAATAGAGAGGAAAGTGACAGAGAGGTTGCTGAGAATAAAAAAATTTGGTTAGGGTTTACTTTAGGGTACCCGTTGTATTATCGTGAACTGTTTCATTTATCGCCAAGTTGTTGCCTCATTTATGACAACCTGAGTAATTGAATGATATGGAAACCCTATTATGATGTAATTGGTTGCAGTAAATTTGAATCACGAGGAAAAAATTTGGAAAGTGTGTGTCAGATTTTGGGTAAGGGCTTGTATGTGTTGGATAAGTACGTTGTTATTTTGTGGTTTACATGGTAAACTGGCTGAATGTAGTAAGATTAATTTGAAGTTTCTGTAGCATTTGGAACAAAAGGGAAAAAGCATTAATTGACTGGTGTGTAAATGAAGGTTTATTTAGTAGCCATTATTAAGTGTCCTGTTTGGAGAAAGGAAATGCGTGTGGTCGAACATTGGATATTTTCGAACGAATGATTTTCTTTACTCTTATTTTTGTGAATTTATGTGGTGACACCGGTATACAGACTCTAGTTCAGATAATTTAAAGAAGTGTTTGGATGCTGTTAAGAAATTTTGTTTGAAGACACATAAATTTGTAAATAAGGTAAGTGGATATTTCCTTTGTGTAGTGCTAGGATGAATTTCCTTCTTTATGTTGTTCCATTGTTTGATTTTAAATGTTTATTCAAACTGTATATTTTAGTTTATTCAGACTGTATATTTTTTGTTGGCTGCTCCTTTGACTTTTTAAGTGAATATAGTTCAGTGTGTACGTGGACAAAGTCAAGAGAGTGCGCAAAGCCTAGTTTGTGCAATTATCTGATTGGTTTTTTAAGTGAAAATAGGTTTCACAATGCCATTTTGTGAAATTCTGGGATTTTTTTTTTTTTTTTAATGAAAATAGGTTGATGTGTACATGGATACCAAGTTTGTGCAATTCTTTGTCATGTTATTTTAGCTTTGTGTCACAGTGAGTTTTCATGTAAAAATCACCACTACACAAGCTAAAATAACAAGTCAAAGAATTGCACAAACTCGGTATCCATGTGCCGCCAAGTTTTGCCAAGGGGTACCCGTAAATATACTTAAACCAAAAATATTAGTTGACAATTCAGGAGGAATTCTTAGCATGGCAGTTTTGGGATTTGAACAGTGGAACTTCATTTGTTACTTGATAAGCAATTATGTCTATATATAAAGTATTAGCACACACACACGAAGAAAAAAAAAAAAAACTTAAACAACTTATATTGAAAGAATTGTTTGATAAACAAAAAAAAAAAAAAAAAAAGAAATATTGAGCTTTAAAAAAAAAAAGGGGTTCCCTAAATCAGAATTTCCCAATTTTTCTTTTTTTAATGCCTCAACAATAAAATAATAAATAAATTTTTTCATAATAAAATATAAATAATAATTAAAAATAACATTCATTAGTATAAATGAGAAGCATGAAATTGTTTATGTTGAAAATGCAAATCATCATAATTTGGTTGTCTGATTATTAATTTTAATGTGGTTCCATTTCCAAAAACATATTCTCTCTCTGTCCCACCCTTTTTTAACTTAATGTCTGCAAATGCTGTAAAAGTAACTTCACATATATATGAAATTGGAAAAGACAGAATGTATTTCAGAACTTTCCACGTTAACTAGATCCACGTGTTGAATTTGTTACCAGAATGATGTTAAAGTACACTCCACTTCTTATGTGTATTTTTTAAGAACCTATCTGAGGCCAATTTCAACAAGTGCTATAGTTCTGCATGCGATAAACCATCTTGCATGGATCTTGTGTTAATATTGAGCAGATATCTTATCTATTCAGTAGTTTTGTTTAAATTAGGAAAGTAGTTTTTCAGGCCTTCTTTTAAATTCTCTAAATGCTGTATTTCAGTGTATCAATATCAATTTTACCTGCCAAACTTGTTATAAACTTATTAAGAGAGGAAAATGAGTCCACTTCTTCATTACCAATTCTTTTTTGCTTTTGTAGCATTTACTTTATCTTAAACATGAAACAGTGAAATTTCTTTGTCTTGTAGCAATAAATTGAGAAAATTTTAAACAGAGAATATATCTGCTATGTATGCCAATTTATATAGCCATTTCCAGTCTTGTTACAATTTCTCATCCCAAATCTATTATTATAAAAACATGAAGCTCATGTTCAAGTTCAGCTAATCGGTTTAGAAATTTTCTTCAAGATAGCCGATGAGGATTGGCATTAAAAAACAGCTCAGTTTGGCTTCCTACCATTTCTTCACGCATTTGCAAAATAAAGTCATGCATTTAAGGGGCAGCCTTTAATATACTTAATGAGTTTCATGCTTTCACCCGCTGCCAAAGCTTCTGTGTTTGGACAACAATGTGGGGATATGACATTTTGGGCAGCATTCTGAATTTCCTTCATCAAGTCTTTTATTATCTCTGACCATACTTTTTTCCTTCATCTGTGCTTATTCTGCTTTTGTATAAATTTGTGGTATGCTCAAGTAACACTTGCCTACAAAAGTATTGATAACATTACGTAGAAAAATAGCAATCGTAAATGAGATGGGCATGTAGAATTAATAATGAGATTTAATCAGGAAAAGTAACATAGATACAGTACAAAGTCCGTAATCCAGACACCGGGACTTCGGCGATTCCGGATTAGGGGTTTTTCCAGATTATAGATCATCAATTTAAATCTGGTAAGATGGGATGCTGAAATTATACAATTAAAAATATGAAACCTTAATTTATGAAATAAAAAGCAATTATGATCTAAAGGGTATCAAATTTTACAAAAAAAAAAAGAAGCTTAATATTTATTTCTTTACTTTATTAAACATTTCTTTCAACACGTGCATGCGTAAAGCAAACGTTACTCGCATGCGTAATGTATGCGCATTCTCTACTCACATGCATAATGTATGCACATTCTTTACATGCATGCGTAAAGTTTGTGGCTTTGTAAAGTTTGGCGTAAAGTTTTTGGCTGGATTATAGATCATTCCGGATAATGGACATCCGGATTATGGACTTTGTACTGTACATAATAATTGCTTAAGAAAGAGTACAGTCCCAACGCAGACACTGATGCCAAAGTTTACATATCACATTAAACGCACAAGTAGTGACACATGCAAACACAGACTGAAGTGTTACACAGAACTGCCGGGGAAAACTCGTCTCTCCCCGTCAGCTGGTAGGGTTACCAAACAGGTTTACTGTCTTTGTTTGATGTTTCACCAATTGGCGGTTTTCTCTAGAGTTTTTGAGTTTGTATTGCCTGTTTGGCGCTGCCGTTGCAAATTTATTCATAACATTAAAGATATCTTATCCTTTTGTATGATCTGATAAAGGGTGGCAAAATAAAAAGTTGTCATGAATTTCTTGATCTTTTTCGTGTCTAACATAGATTTGCGAAATTTGCATTATCTCGCATTATCAACCTGTGATGCATAATAACGACTTGAAAAATATCAGACAATAACATCTGTTTTACATTTTTAGACATATCAATGATTCATCAATGAACTGTATTTGTATTGTTTGAGAGGATAACATACTCAGTTGTTTGTTTGATCTATCTCTATGATTATCATGGCTGAAGTCTTAACTAAAGTTTCGTCAGTTTTCTCTGCTGCATTGCATTTCGCAGTTAAAAGCATCATGCAATACAAAGTTTCTAGAATTTTTTAATTGTATCTTCCTGACAACCCGTTATTACTTTCTGAGATTGCTTTAAATTCTTAAAATTGTTTTTATATATAAAAAAAAAAAAAAAAAAAATTAAGTTAAAAAAGTTAAAAATCGATTGGTGTACCTTTGTACTGTTGTGGCTTGTGTCAGAATGGCACTTTAAATTGGATGGTTTCATGCTTTCATTACATTTTCAGAACAAATGCTGCAAATTGAAACAAGCTCGTTTTCATTTCCAGTCCATGAAAACCCAAATTTAAGATGTCCTTTGTCATACTTGCGAGTTTTCATTTTTTCTTAACAGAATCTTGCAGAATTGAAGGTGGTTCACCCTTGCTAATTTCATTATTTTCTATTTGTTGATTGTGACTATAATTGCTCCTTTCGTTTGTCTTAAATGTTCCAGATTTCAACCACCAATCGATGATCCTGAAAATTACGGATAAAAGTTATGTTTGATATAACTTATCAAAATCAATAGGGCTTACTAAAGTTCATAGTAAACCTTTCCTATTAGAAAAGTAGCACAAAAGCTAAAAATATACACATGTGCACTGTAACAGTTCAGTGTATAGGTACTGGAATTTTTTATGTGACACTATTTTCTGGAGCTTAGAATGGGAGAATACACAGAAGCACAGCCCCCAGCAACTTCACGACTACACTTGCATACACACACACACACACACACACAAAAAAAAAAATCCACACATAGGCAAAGGCATGGTCTCAGTGAAGAATCATGTGCATTCAATGATTGTATTTGCCATTGTGGTAATCTCTTCTCTCTCTTTGTTCACTGGCAACTCTTGCCTGGGCTTTCTCGTATTTCATTTTATTTGTTTTTCAGTTGTGCTTGTTCTCATTGGTTCATTTAGGCAAAGAATATGTATTGTTAAGAAGGAAAACTTTTCCCTAACAGGAGTGGCTCCGTCTCAACATAGAGGGATACATCTGCGCTAGTGTGAAATATCTGTTGTCAAATCTCGAAGTTGGAAGGTCACCTTTATCAAGAGTTCATAAAATGAATATTGTTTTAAATTTCTTTAAACTTTAAAAAGAAAACATTTTTTCATGCAAGTAAATAAATAAATGGATTAGTTTTTTTGAGCAAAAAAAAAAGTACGAAAATCCGAGTTTAAGTTATCGCGAAATGTCAGAAAAGAAACGTTTTGTTAAAGAACATTTCTTCTCAACAAGTGCTCCTCAATTTCGTTGACACATAGCAAAGGAGGAAATTCTCGCCGTCAGGTTCCATCGTCAAATCCCTTGGTGAATTTTTTTCTGCTTCCCAGCAGCGTAATAACAAACTTGTTTACATTACGTCTATGGAACCTTTCCTTCTTTACATAGATGTTCTTTGATTTAACTTCCATGGGATTCTTTCGATATCATCATGCACATCTTTCAAATGTTTTGAATGCCGCCATTTTGTTTATCCGGTGCCGATGTTTGTAGGAATAATGTAAGTTTTTTTAAAAAATATTTTTTGTTTTTGTGATTCTTGTTTTCCCTCATTTCATTGTTTAACTTTAATTGTGTATGTTTACCTGATGTTCTCAGTCCAGTGCAGCATGTATCCTCACCAAACTCCTTGAGTGTCCCAGGGGCACATGATCAACACTTTGGGAAACATTGCCTTAAGGTCGTAAGTGCTGCTTCTTCTTCATTTTTTTTTTTGTTTTTTTTGTTTTTTTGTTTTGTTTGTTTGTTTGTTTTGTTTCGGGGATTTCTACATATTATCTAGCTTGATTTAAACTGATGATCTAATATCCAGAAAAAATCCAGAATCGCTGAAGTCCCGACGAGTCCGGGTCTCAGACTTACTGTTATATATGCACATTTGATGTGTAATATGTCATTTAATATGATATGTGTTACATAGTATGCTGTTTAAGTTTGATATATATGAACATGTGACATACATTCACAAAATACATTTTCATGTTAAAATTGTCTATATTGCATTTTTGCACATTCAGGTATTAACAGTTGGGTAGTTTATAACTTATCAAAAAATCTGATGTGTACCCCACTTGACTTCCTTGTGAAGAATATTAAATTATACGCATTTCTTCTTGTATTTCATTTAAATGTATTGGATTAAAGTAAATCTACTTTGTCGATAACGCATAAACCACAGTAGAGTCAATGCACTCTTTAAAATTCACTATATTTGTTTACCACAGTGACATTCTGGCACTGCTAGTTTCACTTAATAGCGTTACATTTCGTTCATGTTATAACTCAGAATGCATATAAATTTATATCATTTGAAGAATTATCTAATCGCTGCCATATGTTGTATTCAAATACTATAATAAATCGAAAACGATATATAAAAGAAATTAAGCAAACGAAACAAAAAAGAAACAGTTTTTCACAGACGATTCAGTACTTCTCATTCAATTAATTCAGTTCTTACTTCCCAACAAGGTAAAAATACATAAAAACTCAAAATATCTATATTGAAAAATTACAAAGTACCATATTTGACGGCATATAAGACGCACCCTTATTTAGACGGCCATACACAAGGGAAAAAAGTTTCAATGGCGTGTGGTTTCTTTTAGTTCTCATGTTTCGTAAAAGCCAAATAAACAATTATTGAATGCAATTACCTTCACGTGTAAGACGCAGGTAACTTTTTTGAGACCAAATTTAGGAAAAAAAGTGTGTCTTATATGCCGTCAAATACGGTAAACCTTTAATACTTATTTCCTCGAATAAAGTGCAGAATGGATTAAACATGATTTAATTCACAATAATAAAAGAAAGCGCTATCTTTGTTGTTGCGAAGCCTAGTTTCTCTAGATTGGCCACAAATTCCTCTGTTTTGCCATGTTTGAAATGTAAACAAACATATCCGCCATTGCAGTATTCATTAGGCTTAGCTGCACTTAAGCAACTTTTAAGTTGTTAATAACTCCACAAAACCGTAAGATAAGAACAACATAATTCAATCATTTAAAAAAAAAAAAAAAAAAAAAAAAAACCACAACTTACAAACATATAAGAGTAAAGAAACTGAGATCGCTCAGCTGGTTAAACCTTTGCGGCACAGTGTGCCCGGTTTGGGCACACCAAAAAATTTCCTTTTGTACACACTTCTGTTTTTTTGTTTATAAACTATGCAACTGTTAATATCTGAATGTGCAGAAATGCAATATAGACAATTTTAACCAGAAAAATTAAATGTAAAAGGATTTAAAGGTTACTATAGGTTACTCTGAACCTTCTTTATAGTAGATGGTAGCTCAACACAAACCAGTCCATATATTTTAGCCATGTTTAGTTTTTTAGTTTTTTAAGACCCTAATTTTTTAAAGAAATCTTTCAGATTTTTTTTTTTTTTTTTTTTTTTTTTTTTTTTTTTTGGGTATAAAGGGATTGTTTGAAAAGAAATTTCTGTGTTATTTTTTTGGCTGCATGCTAATCTCCTTATTCTATATTAGTTTTAAATTTTTATCTTGAAATCTTGCCTAAAATCGAATGGCAAACCTGAGGTATGCCCAGACTGGGCACACCAAGACTCTAGGACAACTGAGAGACTGTTTTCTTGTTTCTCTGCATGTCATCGGTCAGTTCATTGACAACAGAAAGGTGGGCCCACATCTGTGTTTCATTTCCTGTTTTTCTCTTTCTTCTTTTCTCTCTCTCTCTTTCTCTCTTTTTTAGGGGGGGAAGAGGGGGCATTTGGCTGTTAACTAACAAATTGTTGAGGTGATTTTCTGAAGGTCAGGGGTAATTTTATCAGTTAACTGTTTGGTTTTTTACTAGAGCAGTTCTCTTTTTCTCTTTTGTTTTTGTTTAAAGTTTCGCTAGTGCTACGTTTAGTAGTTTTGAGTTGTAGACGTTTATTTAATTTTATTTTGCTGTTTATAATTTCTAATTGTAGATATAATATTAGTTTATTTTTTTTGATTTTTAATTATTTTCCAAACGGATTGGAGAGGGCTGACCATTTCTGAAGCATTGAAAGTGCTATATGAATTGCTTCAGATAGCGAATCTTACACGGATCCCGGTACATGTGCAAAACATACAACATTGGGTTGTGCTTTTTCAAAGGTGGTGTCACTTTCTTCGAAAAGTACCACCATGAAAAAAATAGACTAAAGTGTGAATATGAAATGTAAATAATATAGATATCATATACCAAAGTTACGTTTCTTATACATTCATATGCATGTAATCATCATAAACCAAAAGAGAGCCTTTTAATGGGTGTAGAGTAGCAGGTCTCCCCATTTCCACACCCTAGGTAATGCTAAATCTGCTATGGTATTCAGAATCTAGTGTTTTTTAAATTGTAGGCAAAATCTCTTACTCTTTTACGTGCTTTCCAGCAATGCTCGTTTCAGCACTCTTTTCGAAGCTCTATTCAAAGTGCCAGCTTCAGGCACACCCGCAGAATTAAAACGACAAGTGCTATCTTCACAAAATTTTACTTGTGTACTCCTCTAGGCCTAATTAGACTGCCTACCTTTTTTTAAAATCGAAATTCCAACTTTAAAAGGCAGTGTGCCAGAAAGGGTTAATATAGTGGATATATATATATATGTATATATATATACATATATTTATATACGTTTGGTATGGCCGATTGGTGCACATCTACGTGTTATGGCAGTCCTTTATACAAAATTTTAACGTTCTGACGCTACTTGTTTTTGAGTTATGCAAGATATGTACGTACGTACAGACACCGCGAAAAATTCTCTTCAGAATTCATTTTAAATCAGTTTTAATTTTTTTTTGGGGGGGAAGAGTCTTTTATTCTGTCCTTACATATAGATATCACACAAAAACATTGTTAAATTGCATTCGATAGCGGTCAAAATGAATATCTTCATTGAAATATGATGCCTGAAAATTTTCGTGATTACAATACTTCCTTTTTACTTCATATAAGGAAGTAAGAAAGAAAAAGATACTTCTAAAAGGGAAAAGTTATTTGTGTTTTTATCTTATTTAAGTAGTTATGGATATCTAAAACAATTCTTTAATTTTAAGCTTCTTTTTATTTTATGCTAAAGGAACATTTAATGTTTGATAAGAATTGAAAGTATTTATTTGAAACCCCAGAATTGCAAACACAGAGTTGTAAATACATGTTACAATTCATTCCGTCTTTTGTGAAAACAAACTTTATTGTATTAGTGTTGTTTAAGGCAAGGTTATCTTTGTTTTATACAGTCAAAAGTCGTTAATTCGGACACCCATAATCCGGAATGATCTATATAACAATAGGGCGCTTCCTTCTTATGAAAAGAAGGAAAGGAGTTTAGGCAAAATTGCCCATTACTCTTCCGCCATTTGATCATTTAAGTTAAAGGATTTAAATGGTAACTCCCGTAAAAGGTAAATAATAAATAGATAAGATCTCAAACTGACACCAAATCTATAGTATCAGCAAAAGATCCCATCTCTAAGTTCAAGGTGTCGGCTGGATCGTAAAAACTTCCCTATTGGATGGAAAACCGATTCAATCCCTCCCAAACCACCAAACGCAATTCTTGACCAAACAAGAGTGCGATGGAGATGGAGAGTCAAATAAATAAATAAATAAGGAGGGCAGAGGTGCATTCTCAAGCCAAATGGCCAGGTAGTGTATAAAGATTTGATATCATTATATTCCAAAAACACAGCTATGAGAGGGAAATCCCTGCATAGTTTCTTTTAAAAAAAAAAAAAAAAAAAAAAAAAAAAGAACTCACAGGGCGTCTCAAAGCTTGTTTCTTGTGGTTCCATATTCACCTTACCTGTAGGTGTTTAGTATACATCAGAAACCCTATTATGCCAGAGAGCCCTTTGTATAAAAGGGCTTGATCAAAGGTAATATAGGGAAACCCAAGGAATTTGTTTCTAGGGACAGAGAACACCGGACATCGTCCCAAAAAGTGAAAAGATGTTTCCTCTTCTTCTCCACAAGCTGGGCAGAGAGGAGATTCAACAAGACCACATTTGTGGAGATGCTTAGCTAGATAAGCATGTCCAGTAACAATTTGAATTACCTGGCGTAAGTTAGTTCTACTGAGGTGTATGAGTTTACCTGAAAAGTTAAGTGTACTGAGCACCAATTTAGAATGAGCACAGTCTGGAAGTTTAGACCATATATCATCATGTTTGTTCTTTATCCAGCTTCTTACTTCTTTTTTAACCGTTTGATATGAAACTGGGTAAAATGGTTCTGGGCCAGACATGGGGAGTTGCGAAGCATCTTTAGCTACTTTATCAGCTAGTTCATTTCCAGCAAAATCACAATGACCTGGGACCCAGACTAAACTAATGGTATTATGGGCCTGAGCCAGAGAATTGAGATCTTGAGTACAGTTCAAAACACAGTTTTGTAACTTGACACGATTAGCCAGGGCAAGGATGGCTGATTGGCTGTCAGAGAGAATATATATATACTTATTCAACTGTATTTTTAGCTAAGAGCTCCCTGGCGACCATATTGATCGCCAGAACCTCGGCTTGGAAAACAGTTGTAAATTTACCAAGGTATAGATGAAATCTAATGAAATCTTCTTCAGATCCCTTGGTTCCTTATAATAGCTCCAGCTCCAGTGAAGTTGGATTTTGATCCATCTGTGTAACATTCAATTGAGCCTGTTGGAATTAGGTCAATTAGAGATTCTATCTCATTCCTTTTTGGT